AACATTAGGGATGGCACCTGACATGCTCTCGCTAATAGGCGTATAGTCTAAGTAGACTCGCTAGTTGCGGGATCGAATGGCCTTGCAGCATAGGCGCAGCATGGCATGGCTAGTGTGTAAGTCTGCTGCGGTAGGTTGGGTACCTACCTAGTCCCCTGGAGACTGGAGAGAGAGAAAGCCAAAAGAGGGCGAGCGGGTGAGCCCAGAAAAGCTCTCGTGGGACGGACGAAAACCCGGCGGATTACGTAGTACGCATGACGGTCAGGCATCTTCAGCTGATTGAGTCCACCCTCTCCACCAACTCGGCGCGCATGGTCGCTCGCAGCAATTCGGCCGCGGGGGTTAACCCCTTCACGGACAAAAGAACCGCCCATTTCTCAATATAGATACAGTAGGTATTAGAGATGTGGTTCGATTTGGGGGACATTTGGAGTAAATAGGTAAGGTAATAGGTATGTATGTATGTATGTCAGAGTCCTACATTCCGTCTAAGCCGACGATGGATGGATGGCGACGACGTTCAATTCCACCAGAGGCAGGGAGTCAGTCAGTCAGTCAGGCAGTCAGTCAACTTGTCATTCAATTCGTCCGCCAGTCGGGGCGGGCGGGCGTCAAAGTGAGTGAGTGTGCTCTGAGGATGGGTTGGGCAAATGTAATTCCTATCCATATCTCTGCGATCCCTGGGCCATTATTACCATTACCCACTCGTCTGGATCTACATACACACACAAAGGACCCCTGCTGCCAAGGAGCTGCAGTGGCGATCAATGCACACAACACTACCATCCCTTTTTTGACTGCTATCACACACTGGTCCCAGCTCCCAGCCATCTCTCTGGATACTATGTACAGCGCCCGCCCAGCTATACACGTGTACGGTGGTAGGGGTAAGGTAAGGTAGGTAAATGCTAGTGCTATGCTGGGCTGGGTTGGCGCTTGGTCACCTACATACAGATAGATACCTACCTACATACATACATACATACATACATACCTAACCGGACTACAGCATATACTAACTATACTGTATTCTCACGACAGAACTCTGAAACTCGACAGGAAGAAGAACACGAAGAAGGAAAAAGAAAAGAAACACGGCCTCAGCTACCGCAGCTCCCGCCATTGACGTCAACAAAAGGGCAAAGTTTCAAATCAGCCGCGTCCACCATGTTCATTGAGTTTTTATTTTAAGGTTTTTTTTTTCTCCTCCTCTGTGTCCATTTGGTGTAGCCGAAAGTCGAATCTCGAGGAAGAGATACGATATTGGGCAACTTCCCCGATGCCCTCACATATGCCATATGCAGTGAGGTGGGGGTTTCTTGGTTTTTTTTTTCCTTCCTTTCTTCCTATGCAGAGTGCAGAGAAGTATTTCCCCGGTAAGGCGAGGGTTGTCATGTATGCGTATGTACTACCTACTAGCATGCTGTACAGTGTCTTAGATGTCCCAAGTCATGTCAATGGTTCGCACTAAGGGGAAATGAAGCGCTGCTGCTGCCTCGGTCGACCGTTCGGCAGTAGTGCGTTGCTTGATCTTCGTCGTCCACAACGCGACCCACGATCCAGCCACAATCCCATCCAAGTCCCCTCTCAACGCGACAAGGAATAGAGCTCTTCGAATCAGGGTCAGGGCCTTGGCCACTCGGTTCTATTTTCAATTTTTGATTCTCAATTTTTTGGCTTCTTTGTTCGGTCCGTAGCCGTCTTCGGCACGTCCGACCCGCGTCAACACAAGTCATTATGACATCTAACCTCATATGGATTTTGTTCGAATGAGGTAGTATCCTTCAACCTAGGTACCCAATCTCTGTAAAAATATGCGGGTTGTTCTACTTTCGATCATCAATGCGTTAGACTGGTGGGCCGGATTATCTGAGAAAAGGTCGAGGCAGGGAAGAGGGATGGAGGGATAGAGAGCGGAGCATAAGCATTGGGAAGAAGAGAGCTTAGAAACATGTCAATGCACGCATTTCATGGTTCCTAGTGTAGTTTCGGATGGCCTGCCGTAACGCCAAAAGACTGGCGGTACCAGAGAGGTGTACACTACAGCAACACTAGCGGTGTCTGTCGGTCTCTTGGGTCGCGCACGAGATCGGTCTAAGGTAGGAACCGGAGGGATCTGACAGCCATTGGCTCAGATGGTGCGTGCTGTCGCTTGTCACTAACCTGCTAGATCCCGTTACACACTATGTAGTAGAATCGATAGAGTTGCGGGTTATAGTAGGTGTGTCTGTCTACTCTACTGTTTAGGCAGGTTTCACAATGCCCTGTTCTTTGTAATATGCTACCTACTACCATGGCTGTCAAACTGCCATATTTGTCTGTTTGTGTAATGGCTGGTCCATGGTGAGTGTCACCACCAAATCTCAGTATAATTTCAGCTGTTAGACGGGCAAATTGGCCGAGGCCTATAGACCAACCAGCCATCGAAGCCCTACGCAGTATATACTATGTAGAAGCAGGGGTGGCGTGCATACCGCCCAGCCAGCCCGTGTTCTCAGTTATCAGTCCTGATGGGAATTCCAGGTGCCGCGTGTTTGCCATGGGTCCTTACCGCTTGGCTGGAATGTGTGCTAATAAGTGGCTTGCTGCTGAGAAGCGCGGCACGACGGGAGACTTTTCGTTGGTTATCCAAGCCACCGGGCTGGGTAATATGAGCACGATGCACCTACGTGGTAAATCAAAAGCAACAAACCAGCCGATCAACACACAGAACAGTCTCAATTTACTCCAAAGATTTGGGTACGGACGCAATCAACAATGGCAAAAATCCCATGCGTATACGCATGCAGCATTTCGCAGAATCAGGAAGGTTTCTCCAGAGCACAGCTTAGCCACGCAGCCAACTGCAGAGCTGAGAAAATGCTTGGCTGATGTTGAAAACTCTGTTACACGACGCCCTTGCTTCCGTTTCGATATTGATAATTTGCCAGTTACATAAATGTATCAATTATATACGAAGACATTACTTCGATTACCTTCGTATAGTAAATACTATACCACTATGGCGGTATCGGAAGCCGCCTTTTTGACGTGTCATTTGGGACTGGCTACAGGCTGTCGTGGGTATTGACCGTTTTACGTGTCTTATAGTCATCAGGGAAACTTTGAGGCGTTTGCTAGGAATACCCCCGCCATAGCTAGCACTGGGTTCAGAGCGGACGGGCATGTTAGCAAACTTAGTAATACTCCAAAAAAAAAAAAACATCTGCCGAATTACCAGTTATCTTCAATGACTTTGGTAAGCACTTGTGTTCGTGAGCTTAGCGCTAGTAACCGCGGTTTGGGCCAAAACATGGTATAGTAACAAAGCCTAGCACGATTTGCCTATATATAGTACTTACGCATAACTATACGTAGTTCCCGCTCAGTAGTGAGGTTAGGTAGGATGAGAGTTGTGTATTAGAGTCATTACGCGGTAATGCTTAAAGTATGAGGCTGTACATAGTTCACAGCTGAGACAATGCTTAATTCTACAGGTACGGAGGAATTTGACAGGCGGCCGGTTCTTCCAGAATCTTGCATATTGCTGAGGTAATTCGACCATGCCTCATGAATGGATGACTACAGATTACAGGTTTTGGGTCCTTTGATCCCAGACTCAAACATATATCTATGTCCCACATAATCATTCTACTCAATGTCTCTCATCCGTCATATTCATCGTGTCCAAGGCAGACTGACTGCTGACTTGGCAAAGTTTCCTGCGGTCATTCCGTGGTACAGCGCTTGTACGTGTGGGTACTTTAGAAGTCCAAGGCTTGATGTACCAGCAGCAATCGACCGGGAGTCAAAACAAACCCCGCGAACCCGAGATGGTGCCCGGGGTTTGGTTTGGTGATCTTGTCGTATGAGGAAAACTTTAACCGGGGCCTCCGGCGGTGCCGTATGAAGGCATATTATGTATTATGTCGGTCCTGGCGATTCATGTCTAGATCCTTCGACTGCCTATATGGCATTCAAATCTCCGGCAAGGCTGAGTCATGGAGGTCAAACAACCAAGACGATGGGGAAACTTCCCCATGAGTGAGCTAATATCGACGGTCCGGAACGTATGCCCTACGTCGTCCGTAGAAGCCGATAATAATAATAATCGTCACGTTATATCGTGTACCCCAGGTATCAATACGACGGTACAGCCTCGCATTGAATCACCAAGTGACCCTGCATTCTGACGGCACTAGGGTCCCTAAACTCCTTCCGCGCAAGATACACATATGTACCTATATACTGGTACTCACTAACCCTTTGCTTGACCGACAGACCTGTTGTTGTTGTTGTCTTCAGCTTCATGTTATGTGTTGGTACCTTGACTAGGGAGTCCTAAAGCTCCACTCTCCAGTGTACATACTCCTGCTCAGCCCACGGAGAGCCATATGTATTTTTCCCTTGCGTACAAGTGAAATTTAGCTATCGCGCGAGGCACACTACGGAGACGGCAGGCAAAAAATAAACGCCCCATGACCTGCCGCCACAAACTTTCATGTCTCTTGTTTCAACGTACCATACGTTCGATTTCTAATTGTAATATGCGTGATGCTTGGCTGGACATGGCGCGTCTCGGAGATGTGGGATTGTGTCGTCTTGGACGCTTTGTTGAGATAAGTAATCACTAATAACATTAGGCTCTGGGGTACTGCAGCTATACTTGCCACGATCCAAGCATACTAGGGGCGTAAAACATAGAATTACGGAACGTGGCTCCCAAAACAGCAGCTAGTTTATCTTCGTAAGCTAAATGACGTTGCTAAGAACTGCCGCGTCTCCCAGCGTCTAATTAATTGTACGACAGTAGAGTTTGTGGGAATCTGATCAACATGGAATACCTATACAAACACACCCTTGACTGTTTATCGAAAAGGATTCTACTATGTACACAGAAGACGATTTACTCCTGGCGGAAATCTTCATCCATGATGGATTGGAGTTCCAACCAACCACCGAACCTTGCAAACCTGACTCGAGATATGAAACCGAGACCCCCAACGATCCTATCAGCCGCATCTCGATTGGTCTAGTGGTAAGGATACCTGCTTGTCATTCAATCATTGATTCGGTTTTCACGATGGTGGATACTAGTAATGTCAAAGAACAAGCCGCAGGTGGCCGGGGTTCGATTCCCCGATCGAGAGTTGTATCTGTAATCTTTTGCCCCCTTGAAACCACACACACCTTTTTCTCACACAAAGAAGAATGTGGCATAATGTTGTTTCGTGGAGATTAAATTTTTAGTATAGATAGATGTAAGCGCTACGAAGTCGTGAGTTCTTTGTGGTACAAAAAAGTCTAGGTGTGTTTATTTGTATACGGCGATATACGTCGGAACTAGACGGTGTAATAAATAAGTAGTTCTCAAATAACCCCATGATGAATCTAGAACCACGTGGCGGCATAGCGAGACCTTCATGTCTCTAGGCCAGGTGACTGATTCACCAAATCAAGAGTTGGTGATTATGCCTGCCGTAGGATATAGCGTATGGATCTAGATGGCTAACTAGCCTAGAGAAGGTTTGGTACGAAAGGAGTGAGTGGACTTGATTTAGCGGTTTACGTAGAAAACACATTAGCAGGACCCCCACCAACTCGGACCCGGAGTGTGATCTCGATACACCAAGCGTCACGAAATAGGACTGCAACATTATACTGACTGCTACGGTATCAAAAATGCAAAAATGGAACATCGTCAACTAGGACACTTGGCCGTCTAAATCTAGATGGCTATATGCGCTCAAAGTGAATACATGACACAAATCCCTCATCCTTACAACTAACTATCTGTCTTCCTTCCTCCTACTTACCATCGCCCCTTAGCATGTGAAAACAGCCGGGCCGGCAGGCTGATAGGTCTTGCCACCATTGTTGTAAATATTGATGAGAAGTCCGGGATCGCTACTCTTATAAGCACCAGGGAAGGAGACAAGGTTCGACGGCGTCTTAGAGCCGGAACCGCCAGAGACCGTAATTTGAGCACATGAGATGTAAAACTGCGCGCCGTTGGTCGAGCTCGCGCTGGATATAGCAACCGCGTTAGTTATTTATGGGTAAAGAAATTCTACGAGCAATTTCGCACGCCTCATATGAGGGTAGCTAAACATAGATAAGGGTAGACGGGTTGTGTTCAACGTCATGGAGCAGGGCTGTGAAGCCGCAACCGAAAGCTTCAACAGGGCATTGGACATAGAACATAGACAAGGAGAAGAGCCTGAAGCCTAGACAAAGAAAAAGGAAGATACCTTCTCATTTCACAAGGTTAAGAAAATGAGTAAGGCTTGATACAAATGGGACGGAAACACACGGCCGGATAGAAAAAAAAACGCTTTCAAAAGAACTGAACTAAACTGACCTGTGGAGGGCAACATGTTCGATACGGAACAAGTAGTCGCCATCAGCAATGCACTGGGGGACAGTAAAAGCGACCGATGATTTTCCTACAGCGAGGATACGTATCAGTAAAATACTCATAGTCATTCAACCACCTAGGTACATCCCCTTTCTATCTTCCTATCCATCCCCAAGTTTGGAGTTGAATCACTAACTTGAAAACAAAGCACAGGGAAGAAAGCACTCACCATTAGAAGGCCAGGTATACTGCCCACCACTGGTAGACGGCATATCCTGGAAGACCTTGAACCACACAGCGCCCTTGCCATCCCACGTGGCCGCCGTCTGGCCGCTGGGGACCTTGGCCATGTACGCGGACAGGGCGCCGGGATGGTAGATATTCGGCGCCACGGACCAGGTGATCTGGCCACCGGCATTCACCTTCGTGATGTCGGGCGCGCCGCCTGCCGCCCGCTGATAGCATCGGATGGCGTCGCTCGTGACGTCCGTCACGGGGCCATTGCTCTGGAAATTAGCCGTCTATACATGGATTTAATGTCAGTGAACTGTTAGTACGTGAGTAGTAGAAACTTTTACACAAAGACATGTCGACAGTTTCCTAGGTTAGGGGAATACAGCAGTAAAATCTCCCACAGAGCAACTCCCCCTTGGAGGTACATTGCGAAAGAGACGGACAACGAGCCCGGAATACTGACCTGGCGCACCGATGACCAGTCTGCTGTTCCAGCGAGCTTAGGGAATGTGTCTGGATGACTTGTTAGTTTAACGAATAATACTGATATATAGCAACGACTCCTACGTCGATAAGAAGGAACAAAAAAACATATGTGACGCCTTGAATCTAGGACGAATATGACGATGATACATATCAAACAACCAAAAAGAAAACCGATGAAAACTCCATCCCCGTACTTACAATGAGGCGCTGCCTGAGCAGCCGCAACAAAGAACGCAAGTGCTGCCGTGGCCTTCATCTTCAGAGCGGGTTGAACGATGGCGATTAACTATGAGCTCTCGGCGTTACAAACCTCGTATGCTCGCTAACAGGTCGATTGTGCTAACGGTGGCGTTCTTTTTCAGGACATTAATTAGGGGGAGTTCAACAGAAATAGTTCCTCCCCATGGCCCAGAATATTACCTACCGCCGTCGTGACAACGGCATAACAAGCCCCGTATGCATGAGCCGAAGGGTCACAAGCAAGCAAGCCATCACGTTCAACCGACAGACATCGATGACGCAAAAATAGCAAGATAGTATGGGCGGAATGTGAGTTGCGAGAACCGGGTAAATACCTGCGTCGGGTATATTGCGCGAGTCTATTAACGAGGGACCGTTCAATAAAAATTTATCCACCGTAGACTGCCCGTAGTCAGCAAGGACAAGCACGGCAAAGTAGAGCATAGGTAGTAAAATTAGTATAGCATTATGTAGATGCATCTATACTTACGAAGCTTAACATCTTGACTTTAGATAACAGCCCATGATGATTACGAAGTTTGTTTACTATTGAGGCCACCGTCACTTGTTGCACGACCAATCTTAGAAAATAGTTTAATGCTACCTAGTCTGCCTGTCCGACTTGCCTCCTAGTGAGTACAACTCAGACGATTGTATCTATCTGAACACGAACGACTTTTGAAGTCGATATGTAGCTTACAGTTTCAATCTAGAAACGGGTCAGCAAGTTTCACAGCCAATGTTCCACATCTTAACAGGCAAGGCTGCTAATTAGCTACTCAGAAGAGGCCCTGTAAGATACACCGAATTCCGTGTCCGGTTTTAAGCTCGAGTAGCAGTGTGCTTCTTAATGACCTGAACTTCGTCGTACTTCCTAATGAAATCAAGTGAAGAATGACAAGTGCAGATCTCGGTGAAGAGATGCACAACTTGAAGAAAGCCGATATTACCATGTCTAATCAGCCGAACCCTCTAGATAACGCCGGTTTTGCTTTTTATGGGGGAAAATGACGCCAACAGTCCTATCAAGATCGGAGTGGTATCAATAGGTTAGGATGGTGTGAGCGTCTGGAGCAGAATTCAATCACCATCGTCGATTACCGAGGGGCATAGCATTAGCACCGCCGCCACCACCACCGCCACCTAGGAAATTAGTTAGTCTTTGATTGTAATACGAGCGAAATTGACAAACTTACCACCACGATGGCCACCACGACCGTAGCCACGACCACCATATCGACCACCACCGCCTCCGCCACCGTACCGGGCCATCTCGGCTAATCTTGGGTCGACTTGTTGCTTAGCCTCCTGAAGAACTCCAACGAGATCACGAGCCTGTTTCGAGTCTAATGATATGGTTAGTCTGGTCTCAAGTTAGAAATAGGGTGATGGGACATACTGTCAGTAGTAAAGAACGTGATGGCGGTACCCTTGGCACCAGCCCGACCGGTACGACCAATACGATGAATGTAGTCTTCCGAGTTGTTCGGATAGTCATAGTTGATCACATGAGTGATGTTGCGCACATCTTTATCACGAAAGGTTAGCTCTAGAAAACGAGTTGCCATCCCAGCGGCGGACATAGGTGTCATAAGCATATTGTTCCGTGCTCTCTCCAGCGAGAATGAAGCTGTGGGGCTGTCTGTTGCATCAACACTGCCAATCTGGAATTGATCCCAATAGTCTGGTCCGGGTCCTCAGGATTCGGGAATCTTGACATAATCAAGAAATGCTCAACTTCGCCTAATTGTACCATAGAGTATAGGTATAAGGCGAAACATCGACACGGCCCTTGGGCCATACCAGAGATCCCGATCATTTGGGGGGGAAGGAGAACCACGAGACACGATTAGGCTAGACATATGTGCGCAATCAAGAAAGCCCCTAGACATCACAGTCAAGCACATCGGATATAACTCTGCTGGAAGTTGGGGGGGGAGGGACGGGTTAGGGGGAGTTTTAATCATACCAATACCACGAGAAGCCACATCGGTGGCAACCATGATGGGACTCTTGTTGGTCTTGAATTGATCAAGAACCCAATCACGTTCATTCTGTTGCTTGTCGCCATGGATTGCTGCAAATATGTTAGTAACGGTAGGTAAATATTACGAGATTGGAACATACAAAGCGCCGGCCAACCGTCTTGGCGGAGAAACCTCGTAATTTCATCGGCAACTCGTTTCGTGCCTACGAAAAGAAGGCATTTATTCTCCTTGTTATCCATAATCTTCTCCAAATGCTTGATCATGCGATCACGCTTCTCACCCTCAGAAACTACTTCGACAATCTGGGTAATACGGTGGTTCGCGGAGAGATCCATCGAACCAATGTTGACTTGAATGAAGTCGGTCTGGAACTCGGAAGCAAGAGCTCGAACTTCCTTAGGCCAGGTAGCAGACCACATGAGTGTCTGACGATCCGGTCGAATCTGACCAATAATCTTTCGAATTTGCGGCTCGAAACCCATGTCAAGCATACGATCGGCCTCGTCAAGAACTAGATACGTAACCCGACGAAGGTTGGTCTTGCCACCCTCAAGCATATCGATCAAACGTCCAGGTGTGGCAATGCAGACTTCGACGCCCTTAGACAGGTCTCGGATCTGGGGACCACGAGGAACACCTCCGTAAACACACGTGTTGCGAATTCGTGACGATTTACCAAATTTTGTGATTTCCTGTTGAATCTGAACGGCCAACTCTCTTGTGGGAGCTAGAACGAGGACAATGGGACCATCGCCGGGAGCGAGCAAAGGTTGAGCGTTGATGTGAACGATGGCAGGAAGACAGTACGTAAGCGTCTTTCCAGAGCCTGTCTCGGCAATACCGA